GGGGAAGGCATGTGGAGGAGGGACTGGTTCCCCGAGGGGCTGAGGAGCTCTTGGGGACTTTAGGGTACTTCGACTGGGGGCTGCCAGTAGAGAGAACCACTGGTGGTCACCAGGACTGGGAGCAGAGGGGAGCTGTCTCGGGGGTCAGGTCCGGCAAGGGAACTTCCTGTTGTGGTCGGGGCACTCAGCCTTTGGGCCTTGATGTCCCCTTGTCATAGGAGGTAGTTGGTCATTCTGGTCTCCTCTTGCAGAGAGGTGCCTTTCTGGCCATCTACCTGGCACATACAGGCSGTGTCCTGGGAGGTCTGTAGGACAGGGAGCAGGCATCTGGTTGGCCAGCAGCATGTCCAGAGGGTCCTTGGGACTCACAGTTTCATGCGGCTCCTGGGCAGGCCAGCGCCAGCTGCACAGATCCCAGAGCCAGCCTCGGGCGCGTGCCCAGGGCAGGTCCCACTGGAAGCCACCTCAGAGTCCTGCTCTGAGGGGAGCCGTGGGAAGTGAAAGGGAGGCTGTGATGGCCGCACAGGCGGGTAGAGGAGCCCCAGGGAGGGGCACAGAGCAGAGCCCAGGGGACCTCGGTGCTCGCCGCCCCACTCGGAAGCGCCTGGTCTGAGGAGGGAGGCTGTAGGAGCCTGAGCCGGGTGGCAGGAGGCCAGGGGACACTCTGCTTACAGCCTGGTGGACTCTGGGCCATACAGGTGGACATCTAGTGTGTTGCTTCAGGGGGACACTGGCCATGTGGCTTCCAGGAAGACCTGGGCTCAAGTCTCAGTTGAAGCCACTGCTCAGTCCCTGGGCACCGTCCCCAGCAGCTCCATGGAGCACCTCTGCCGGGCCACTCTCCTGACCTTCCCTCCCGGGGCTGCTGGTGGGGTGACACTGAGCATGGAGCCTGCCTGCTGGTCCGGGGGCCTCCCTGAGCTCTGGTGGGTTCCCTCCTGCCACCCCTCCCTGGGGCCAGCGCTCCAGAGCCGCCTCCTCCCGGAGTCCAGGGAAGGCCCCGCCCAGCTGACAGTCCTGCCTGGGGCTGGCTCCTTCCACGGGAGAGAACATTCTCAGGCAGGTGCAGTGGCGCCCCCTGTAATCCCAGTGGCTCTGGAGGCAGAAGGATCCTAAGTTCGAGGCCAGCCTCTGCAACTTAGAAACCCTGTATCAAATGATAAGAAAAGGGCTGGGGATGTGGCTCAGTGCTAAAGCACCCTGAGTTCAGTCCCTGGAACCCAAGAAAGGGACACAGATCCCAGGCCTGAGCTGGCCTCCGCTGTGAGGTTGGCGAGGTGCCCTGCAGGGGCTCCTGGAAGACCTGCCCCCCACGTGCCTGACCTCCTGCTGTGGAAGGCTGGGGGRCAGGCTGCCCATCTCTGCTGCTGTCCACCTGGAGATGGGCTTTCGGGGTCAGCCCCATGGTGAGTGCACTTTGTGGCCAGGCAGGCATTGAGTCCCCTGGGGCTGGGGCAGGAGTCCAGGGCCTTGTGGCCTCTGGCTGGAGGCAGTTCTCCGGCAGTGGGCAGGGTTCCTGAGGTCGGTGTCCCTCCTCTCATTCTGACCAGTGTGGAGAAGGCCCCTGGGCTCCCCTCCAGCAGGACCTCTGAGGAGCACTGGGGGAGGCGTGGAGGTGCCTGTCCTCTGGCCAGGACTCTAGGAAGGGGCTGAGTGACCGTGTCTGTTCTCTCTCGCAGGCTGGCCCAGCTGGACGTGGACAGCCACCTCGCACAGTGCTTGTCAGAGAGCACGGATGATGTGGCATGGTGAACCACCAGTGTCCAGAGCAGAGCTGCGAAAGGGGGGTCCTGGCCGGGCTGTCCTCACTGACCTTCCTCTCTGCTCCTGAACATGCACATTAAAACTGGGGTGTGGGCTCTCCCGCCTTGCGTGCTAAAGCTAGGACGCTGGCCTCCTCTGTTTCTGACGTGGGAGTCGGGCAGAGTCCTGACCACTGTGGAGAGTCCATGGCCCCGGCCCCAGGTGGGGAGGCTGTGCTTTCCCCAGAGCTGGACACCTCTGCCCACACCACCTGTGTGCACTCAGCTGGGCTTGCTCAGGGCAGCATGCCGTCCCCGCCGTGAAGCCTGATGGGCTGTRCCAGAGTGCCAGGTAGCTTGTCACTGCTGGGACCAAAGGACCCAAGAGAACAACCTGGGGCAGGGAAAGCTTCTACTTTGGCGTGGTTCAGAGGCTTGGTCCATGTCCGCTCAGCCCCTGGCTCTGGCCTGAGGCGAGGTAGCGTGCCGTGGTGGAAGGGCAGGGGGCAGGACCCCCCCTCCAGAGAGGGCAGCCCGGAGGGAGAGGGGGAGAGCTGCAGGGGAGACCCGCTGCCCGGGGCAGCCCCAGCTCCCACCAGGCAGCCCATTCTAACAGGGTGGACAGTCAGGCTGTAGCTCTGTCCAGCCACCTTACCCCTGGATGTTCCTGCATTAACCCAGGAGCTTTGGAGGCCCCTCGCCTCCAGACCAGAGCACACAGCCACACTGTTGACCCCCTGGTGTGCTCGCCTCCACAGGCAGGTGTGGTGTCACCAAGGTGGCCGTCACAGCCCAGGCTTCACGGGTTGAGGTCCTTGCCCTGGGTGTTATGTGTGAGCAGGGGGCCATGATGTCCCCAGGACAGAGAGCTCCCCGGAAGGCAGGAGAGGTGATGGCACCAGGGGCCCTACGGCCTCCTGGCTGAGGGCCAGTGGTTCCCCAAGCAGGGACAGGTTTTTGATACCGTGGATCCTATCGGGGTGCTCTACCACCGAGCCACACCCAGCCCTTTCTTTATTGTGAGACAGGGTCTCGCTGATTTGCCGAGTGGGCCTGGGGCTTGGGTCCTCAAGCCTCAGCCTCTGACTTGCTGGGGGACAGGTGTGGCCACTGCACCGGTACCAGCGACATTCGTTCAGGGGATTGGGCCGCTTTCTCCCRGGGCCTGGCCCAGGGGTTCTGAGGAGCCAGGTTTTGGTGCTCAGCAAGGCACAGGGCCGGTGGGACGAGCAGGACGTGAAGCCCAGGGTGACATCTGAACAAGCTTTGAAGGCTCCTGCAGGCAGGGAGCCTGCAGCTCAGGGCCAAGGGTAGGCCACGCTGCATCCTGGGGCACTCGGGAGCCTGCCGAAGGGTCACTGTGTTGGGGTTCTGCAGAGCAAGCCTGGGAACCGGGTGTGGACTCACGGGAAGGTTGGGATTGACTCTTGTCCTCGGGCCAGGGCAGGCAGTTGGGTCCAGGCTCATGGCCCCAGAGCTGGGCAGGGAGCCCGAGGCACTGTCCTGAGTGGGAAGCCTCTGGCAGGAGCTGGGGTCCCAGGGCTGTGTCTGGCCAGGGGAGAGGGCATCCCAGCCCAGTAGAGGCACAGTGGCGTCCTCTCCGGTCCTTATCTGCTGGGCCCTCGGCGACTGGACTGGGTGGTGTGCAGGGCGGGAGACAGCCTTCTGGGCCTTCCTGCCAGATGGACAGCCTCCAGGGCACAGCTTCCCGGAGTCCAGCCCTCCTCATGCAGGCACTGCCCTGCCGCCCTGTCCCAGTACCTGGTGGGGAGGGTTGGGGAGGGACACGGGCGGAGCCTGGGGTTCCAGGGCTGGCAGGTGCTGTGCCCTGTCCAAACCCAGGGAAGGCCTCAGCTTGGCCCAGCCAAGACGCCGTGTGGACTGGGGGAGGGTGCAGCCGGGGAAACAAGTCCGCCTGAGGAGGCGGCCCCACCCGCTTCCCAGAGGGGCCTCGCACACGAGCAACCACGACACCAGCGCTTCGTTCAGTCTTTAATAGATGCACAGGGACACGATGCCGTGGCCGTGCGGGCAAGGACAGCGTCTGCGACAGAGCTGGCACGCAGGCTCTGCCCAGGCGGGCGGGACGCTTCACCATCACCAAGGCACCAGACGTCATGAACAATTTCCAAAAGCTGTGCTCCTGTCTGACTGTTCGAAGGAGAGGCTTTTCCAAGCCAAGCTTCGATACGTCCCTGACTTCCTTTAATTTATAAAACAAATTCCTACCTATAAAAACGCCCGCTCCCGCGAGCCCAGTCTCACCGACACCTGTCTGCCAGCAGCTGCACGGGTGCCTGGCACGTTGGGCCGAGTGGCCGTGTCCAAGTGAACACCCTGAACCGGGCAAACCAGGGGCCAGGGGCTCCCAGAGGTGGCTGCCCTGGACAGGTGGACTGCATGGCCCTCAGACCAGGGCTCGGGGGGCTGCTGTACCCCAGGGGGGCTGGAGCTCTCCTGGGCCCCACAGGTGGCCTGGGCCTCTGTCCCTGGAGGGGGTCTCACTGGCTGAGGCTGGGAGTGCTACAGGGCCACCTGGGAGCCCCAGCTGGGGTGGGGTCACCGGATGCACCAGGGCAGCCCTCCGCCTGCCTGTCCAGCACCTGGACCCAGTGTGAATCAGGCGGGACTGGTCTACCCAGGTCTCTGCTGCACCTTGCACTTGTGATGGTTTCTCACATGACCTCCTTGGGAGGCCCCCGGGAGACTGGCCTCCACATGGCCTTGTGGGGAGCCAGAGGGCTGTATGGCCAGCCCCCAGGCACGCCAGGATAGCTCTTGGGGCCCAGAGCCCCCTGGCCACTGCAGCCAGGCCTCCCACACACTGCCCAATGGCTGGGGGCGCTTAAGAGGTGGCTGGCCCACCGAGGGGCTAAGGACTTGGCTCACCTCTTTCTAGAAACCTGGGAAGCAGCCCTGACCTGGCCATGCAGCACTGCTGACCGTAAGACCAGGGCCCCTCACACTGCTTTTTAAATCTCTGAGAGTATCAGGTGACTGAAAATTTTCCAAAAACTCTGACACAGAACACAAGAATCCCGGAGGCACTGGTCAGCGTCTTCAGACACATTTTGTGCAGATTTCGTTTTCAGATTTTATTTTTCCTTTTTTTTGGTCTACTGGTGCTTTGGTGAGCGACGTCTCAGCATCTCTGGGATCCCAACTTCCCCACCGGGTCCACGGAGCGGGCAGGTCAGCTCTGCCGATCTGGCCAGGGCATCAGGACCAGCCCACTGCCGCGGCTGGTCATGTGCGTGGTGGGGGAATGCTTGTAAATGTCACGGCAGGAACTTACCGGGATCTAGAAAACGTTCCGAATCGGCAAAGGTTCCTTGTGCAGTGTACCCCTGCAGGCACTTGGACCCCGTCCCCACCCACATCCCGACTGCTCCCAAGCTCGGCTCCTCCTCACATCTGGGCTGCATCTGCAGGTGCCACTCGGAAAAAAGGCATCAGAGGGACGCTGGCCACCATCGGGACATTTTTATTCCTCAGGACACAACACTAACTCCTGGAGGAGCACGCAGTGCCTCGAGTTCTGCTTCTGTGGAAAAGGTGCACCTTCGAGATGGCGAGTCTCTGCCGGGGTGGTGCCGCGGTGGCCCACCACGCAGGTCCAAGAAGCCATTCCCCAGCACGAAGCCGGCCTCTCCAGGCCCAGATGCAAGAGGCTGCTCTGCCCAGAGGCGCCCGCCTGAGGGGATATCTCCCTCCACAGTCTCGGGCCAGCGTCCCTCCCTGGCTGCCCAGAGCCTCGTGCCCAGCCTGGCATGCATATGCTGTGGTGAAGGATGAGGTCATGGGGTCATTCACAGGTATGTCCACGGCAGAGATGCACGAGGCCTCACACGGACTCCTCGGTGGACAGCAGAAGCGGGTTGATGTACTCGAAGCCTTCGAACTCAGACTGGTCGATCCTCTTTATGACGTCCCTGGAGGCACAGAGAAGGGGTGGGTGGGGGGCCGGGTGCCTGCTCCCTTGGGTTCTGCCGAGACCCCCTTGCCAGACCCCTGGTAGAGAGGGAGGCCGGGAGGGAGCCGAACTGGAAGCAGCTGGTGTCCTGCACCTCAACTCTGCAGCCCAGGAGGGCGCCCCAACCCCTGGGCTGCCCCAGCACTTACTCATCATCTGGGGTCAGCTGCACGGGCTCGCTGGTGAACTGCGTGTCGAAATTGTCCAGGCCGTAGTCATCGGTGATCTGCGGCTGGAAGGGAGGCAGGGCCTGCTTCTTCTCTAGCTGGGGAGAACCAGGGGAGGAGCCTCCCGTCAGTGCTGGCTCTCGCTCAAACCACAGAGTGAAACAGGACAAACTCTGCTTTTCCGTCTGGTCTGCCTGGCAGTTGGATGCCGGACACCCCTTCTTCTTAAAACCTATAGCTGGGTGCAGTGTCACACGCCTGTGATCCCAGCAGCTTGGGAGGCCGAGGCAAGAGGATTTCGAGTCAAAGCCAGCCTCAGCAAAAGTGARGCGCTCAGCAACTCAATGAGACCCTGACTCTAACAAAATACAAAACAGGGATGGACTCTGGCTCAGTGGTCAAGCACCCGAGTTTCATCCCTGGTACTCAAAACCAAACACACACACACAGAAAACATTCTCTCACCCACCCACTCACTCACCTAGGGGAAAATATCCCACAGCAGAAAAACCCAACCCGAGCTCAAAAACACTGGAGGCCTGGGCGAGGCAGGCCAGTCCCGGTGGTGAGGCGCCCCACCCCAGGCAGAGACCTCCACGCTGGCCAGCCTGGCCCGAGAGCCACTGCCACCGAACTGGGGGACCGAGGCTGAGGTTCTCTTCCGTTACGTCTTAGAAGCACAGGTGCTGGAAACCCAGTGGGCCCCGCCTGAGCTCTGGTCCACGGTGACTCTGCTGAGCAGGAATGTGCACCAGGCAGGAGGGCCCTGGTCCCCAGGCGCAGCACTTACCCCTGGCCACAGTCAGTCGGGCTCTGCTAGCTGAGGTGGGAGGGAGCCCCAGCCCTGCAGGACTCGGTCCCACAGTGTGGCCAGGTGGGGCAGGGGCTGTCCCTGGGTGACCAGTGCTGCCATCAAGAGGGCGTGGGATGGGCTCGCCCCGCAGGCTGGGGGAGGAGGCAGAGAACTGCAGACCCCAGGCCTGGAGCCCCGATCCCCACTGCTCTCCACACACTGCCAGCCAGGCTTCTGCCACAGCCACAGGGACATGCCCTCCCGGGCTCCTCTTCCTCAGACTCGGCCTTCCCTCCCTCCCTCTCCCCCCATGGACTCACCCGTTCACTCACTAATTCCCTCACCTGTTCATTCCCTCACTCACCCATTCATTAATTCACCCACCTGTTCATTCCCTCACTCACCCATTCAATAATTCACCCACCTGTTCATCCCCTCACTCACCCATTCATTAATTCACTCACCTGTTCAT